TCAGTGCGAGGGCGTTTAAGAACTGCAAGCATATCTATCTGACTCTATATGTGTGTATGCAAACAAAACATATACACAGAAATACGCATGGAGACACCACAGAGCTCATATAAGGCCCACAAGGCCACAGCAGTTGGGGCGCCGGCGTCCACAAATACTCGGCCTCGTACAAGCCAGGAGCTAAGCGCTGCCTCGACTCGCTTGCTCTTAATGGGGGAATCTGAGGTTTAGGGTTTAGGGTTTAGGGTTTAGGGTTTAGGGTTTAGGGTTTAGGGTTTAGGGTTTAGGTCCCGATAGACTCCCTTGATAATCCCCGAAAGAGTGATATGGAGGAAATTCCGTTCTAATTCCCTAGTATCTATTGGCAAGTCGAACTGCTTGCAGGATTTTCTGAGGACGACGCAAAGGTTCAGGGACCCCTGAGCCCTGGTTTAGGGTTTCGGGTTTAGGGTTTTCTTCTTCAGCAAGGCCTTGCACGACGCGTCGGTTTCGGGTGTCAGGCTCCAGGCTAAGTATCCCCTCATTAAGCTCCAAACCCTGAGCCTTGAACTCCACAAAAACCATGAAACCCCCAACTCTAAACCTGAAAAACCTGAATCCTCAACCCTAAGCCCTAAATTCCCAACCCTATTGAAAATTCTCTAAACTATCAACCCTAAACCCTCAACCCTGCCTCAACCCTCCCTCAACCCTTCAAGCCCAAAGAGAGAGCTCAGGTTCCACCTCCACGGAGCGCCCTGGATGTGCCCCAGGTACCTGAGGAGGGGTCGAGAGGGTTTAGGGTTAGGGTTTAGGGTTTAGGGTTTAGGGTTTAGGGTTTAGGGTTTAGGGTATAGGGTCTAGGGTTTCAGGCGTGCCGCCGCGCAGTGGCAGTAAGTGCCATATGGAAATGGCGGCCCGATGCACCCAGGGGTTTTGGTGGGGGGCGGCATGTAACGCGAAAGCGCATGACATTTGGGTGCCAAAGAAAGCCTCCTCCACAAACAGACAAACCTTCCCAGGGAACACCAAAAGAACTGTTCAGGGCCCTTTCTGCAGGTGTCCAGGGGCCCTCGCTCTGGCGCCTTTTTTGAGGGCGACTTGTGGCTCGGAAGGGGTAAGCATCCAAGGGCCTCCAGAGGGATCGAGGCTTGGGTGTAGAACAGTCTAGGGTTTAGGGTCTAGGGGTTTAGGGTTCAGGGTTCAGGGTTTAGGATTAAGGGTCTAGGGTTTATGGTCGAATTTCGGGTTTCTGGAGAGTTTCGAGTTGAGGGTCCCAATGCACCGTTTAGGCTTAGGATGAAGGCTCCAGGGTCCAAATACCTGAATTGACAAGGGATACCCGAAGCCCAAGACCCTGAAATAACCCTAAAGTAGCACCTTAGTAATGGTAATAGTAGAGCATATAACCCCAGTTTTCGAGGATTGTAGTACTTCAAAGGCAGTACCCTAATCCCCCAAAACCCTAATCCCTAAAGTAGTGCCTTAATGGTGATGGTAGAGCAAATAACCTCCAGTTTTCGTGTTCAGTAGAAGTCCCCAAGGTACAGGGCGTCTGCCGACCGGTCTGCAGCCGCCAAAATAGTGTGCTTCAGACGCCTCAGCGTAGGGTCAGTGAGGTAGATGGGTTGGGGTTTAGGGCTTATCCTTTAGGGTTTAGGGTTTAGTTTTACGGGTGCCGGGTTTAGAGTTTGAGGTTTGAGGACTAGATAGAGGTTTTTGGGAAACCGTTGAGAGGTTTTAGGGCTGGCTGACAGCAAAGGGGGTCGCGGGGTTGTGCATGATTACGTTGCAGGCCAGGAGCTTCCAGAACAGCTTTGCTGGCACAGCGTCATCCTGCAGGCATACGTGCTTCAGCAGACATGCTTCACTAAGCCGATCATCATCCGGGTTTAGGGTTTAGGGTTTAGGGTTTAGGGTTTAGGGTTTAGGGTTTAGGGTTTAGGGTTTACGGTTTAGGGTTTAGGGTTTATGGTTTAGGGTTTAGTGTCTAGGCATCAGAACGAACAACGCAGACTTCTTGGATTCTCGGGACATGCAAGTCGCTGGCCTCCAGGATCAAGACTGGCCTGCATGTTGCCAGGCTATCTCCACCCAGAGCCCTGACAGGACCCCAAAATTAGAACCCCCCCCCCCCAAAAAAAATAGCACCCTACACCACTCTAGGGTCATTTTTGGAATCCCAAATAGTACCCTATACTACTATTGGGTCATTTATCAACTTTTTGGATCCTCCCGGGGCTCTGGGGGCCATGGACTCGTTGTGGAGTGGACTTTGAATCTCCAGCCTCTTGCTGGCTGCGGTCGTCCGCCAGGCACGGACATGAGACATAGCGCAGCCTCCGCTAAGGCGTACGAACGTGGCGAAGGGACGACGAATGAAGCCGCAAGATCTGTCCATTATAGCATTATCTTCTGCTGTTTTGTAGTACTAAATCTATAATATCTTCATACTACGAGTATTATCTTCGTATCATTTACACTGTACTTATATTCGCATACTAACCACACCTCGTTCGCCCGAGGTCATTTGCAGCTTGAATCCGGAGCGGTATCCTGAGCTCTGCAGCTCTGCAGCAAGCCCTGGATTGCCCTAGATCACGCTCTGTGCTATGCGATTCCTGTTTTGGAATTCCTGAATGCATGGAACGTGGCCTGCACGACCATCGTACTTCGCATTTCGGTCGGTGCGCCAAGTTTGGAGGACCTCACTGAGCTCACATCATACTGCTGCAGTGCGGACAAGGGAGTGGTCACCTGAACCTTTCCAGCAGTTTGCCACTGAGTCTACGGCAACGTGCTCCGGAACCTCAGTCGTTGCGGAGCTGACAAGAGGTTGCCATCATAGCTTGAAAAGCACACCGCGGCTTCGCCCCCCCCCCCTTACTCAACTTGGTAGCCCAGTAACGATACTATAGTCAGGGTACCCTTTTTGAGGTTGGTGACATTATAAGTTATAAGGTAACCTTGAACCAACAAAAGGGAAAAGGGTACCACTGGGGTAGGTCTATCCAGCACGAACACGTGATTTCCGCACCTCCTCCGCGAGACCGTCGGTGGCAGCCATGCGCTCCAAGCGAAGGAGATCTTCGGCCTGTACGAAACTGGGCTTACAGGGTTTAGGGCTTCTAACATAGAGGCTCCGGGATTTCACTGTATGGGACCAGGATTGAAAGGTCTGGAATCTATGTGCAAGGGAAGAATCCTGGAACCTTAGAATTTTTCCTGATGCCCTAAAGCCCTGCTACCCTGTGCCCTCCCCCACAAAACCCTGAACCCTGCATAACCTGACCTTGTTAAGCCCTGGCACCCAAAATACACAACAACACCCATACCCTCTTTACCTTTCGTACCCGGCGTACCCGATACAAACCCTCTGCCCCCCCAATAAGCCCTAAACCCAGGCATCGGGGCACCTGCGCATCCTGAAACCTCGTCGTGACTCCTGCGGCACCAAGAGATCAAGGGCTATGCTTTGGGCCTTGGAGGGTTTAAGGGTCTTGGGCTAAGGGTTGTTTAGGGCACAGGGTGCTAACTTCATGCCCTCCCGGGCCACTAATGCTGCAAACTTCGGCTCCTTCCCATCGATCTCGTCGACGGTCGAGATTGATAACCAAGGTTCGAAGTGGAAAACACAAGGCATCTTCATCGCGCAGTGGTTCAGCAGGCGCTGGCCTCATTTCAATCGCCGTAAGTCGACAAGAAGGCTTGTGAGTGCAAACATGGGACGGCATAATTCTTACATGTTATGAAAGACATGAAAAACCACATACTTCTTTATCATGCAATGATCAATACGCATATCATAATGGTTTCATAATGAATCAACATATAGCACAGAACTATCGACAAATTAGATATTCTCATACTAGATATGAGAGTGCAATAATCCCAGACTGTGAGAATAGAATATACTGCGAGTTTCTAGGACTGCGGAAGGCCAAACACACCAGGCCAAGCGCGATTGACCACGGCACCAGCCACACGCTTTAGTGCGATGAACAAGGTAGAGCTGTAAACCCTAAACCCTAAACCGCCAAACCCGAAACCCTAAACCCTAAACCTGTCTTTTGAAGCCGTCTGCATCTAGCTCCCCACTGAAGGGTGGAGCCGGAAAGCTTTTGAGAATTTCAGAATAGGGCTAGATAGTTTCGGGTGTGTACTGCGGCATGCGAACATGTCTTTCAGCGTAGTAAGCCGCAATGACATGAGCAACCGCACCTCTTCCCCACAATACGGCGTCTAGGCGAAGTCATCCGGTCAGAATCGCCATCAACAACGGCGAAGCGGCCATCACTTGGCGTGGGTGTGTTTAGTTCTTTGGGGCTGCACATGGCCCTATACTTGGACGTTCGCCTCAGAAGCTGTCTGACAAGGGGCAACATGGCGCAAGAACGCTTAGACCTTGGCACCCGAACAGGAAAACGGTCGAAGCTTGCGACGATTTATTTGCTTCTTTATTCATGAGTGTGACTACATGTCCAAAGCTGTATGGCGTTGTACGCTTGGCTTTAAGATGCTTTGAGTTTCGCACTTACAGTCGGGCATAGTGCTTGTCCTTTGAGCACTGGGCAATCTGACATCTGCGCCGGGATGGACGACCAAGTCATCGAGAGAGATAGAGAGATAGAGAGATAGAAAGATAGAGAGAGAGAGAGAGAGAAAGAGCGCCAGAGAGAGAGTGACAGAGAGAGAGAGAGAGGAAGAGCAAGAGAAAGAGAGTGAGAGAGAGAGAGGAAACATGTCATGTCCTGCAGGGCTTTATTCCATGGAGCTGATCACTGTACTTCTCCCCTTTAAGGGGAGCCGCCGGCTCCAGGTACAGTTGCGTTGGGGTGCGGCCTCTGCTCACGCAGATGTCCTCCAGCGCCAACAGCTGCCCCCTAAACCCGAAACCCTCCCATGGAGAACCCAAAATCCTACTTTTTTGTAGGGTTCTCAAGAATATCCTATAAGGGGATTTAGACTAAGAACCTACAAACAAAATTGGGTTTTAGGTTGTGAAGGTCCATCACGACGGATCAGCCGCAAAGAAGGCCCACTGCAGCCACCATGTTCCCGCCAGCTGCCTGCAGGAAGTCCACATGATCAGCTCTCTAAGTGGTGGTCCTCGTTGACTCGTTGACTCTTTGGGGGACGATGAACATGCAAAAGCTCGGTTCCGTAGTTGAATTGGCATCCAAAAAATGCACGCTAACGTTGAGCAATCCCGAAAAGTAGGGTTTAGGGTTGGGATGTTCCCCCTTATACTGACAATCCGTAATAGGGATAATCGTACCCCCAATTATAATCCCTATTGAGGACTCTTGGTATAAGGGGGAAAATCCCAAGTTTAGGGAGTTTAGCTGTCTTGGGGTGAGTTTCGGAGAGCCCCCAAGAGGCAGGGCATCATTGAGCTACAGGGCGTAGAAGGTTGTGCCAGGCGCAAGGCCCTACACCCGTCCCTATAGCCTAGTGAAACACGAGTCAGAACTCAAAACTGGCAAACCACGAAACTTCCCCAAGACACAAACACTCTTAAGTTCCATGTCCTCCCTATACAAACCCAAACCCAAGCCCTACCCCACCGCGTCCCCCCCCAAAAAGAGGAGGAAGTAAAATTCGAAAGCGCATAACGCTGCTCTTCAACCAATACGTTCAGTAATTTCTTCAAAATGATAAAGTTATTCTTGTCATTAACAAGGTAAAAGCCAACACCATTAACAAGAAAAAACCAACATCAACAATAGAAGATCACGCCTCAAAGGCTTCCTTTGCGCGCTCGGCGGAGAAGCCCATGGCTTGCAACTCGGCCAAGCTGCCCTGGTGGGCGGCTTAGGACTTTTGGGTGGCAGGGGTAGGAGTTTAGGTTTTTTCTTTATATATATATATATGTATACATACTTATTTCTTTATTTGTCTATTTTGCTTTTTTGGTTGTCTTTTCCTTTTTTTTTTGGGGGGGGGGGGGGGTGGTGGGGCGGGGGGCTTAGGGTTTGGGATTGGGAGTTTGGGTTCTAACATGTCCTAAAGCCCCCTGAAGCCCGAAACCCCAAACCCTAAATCCTAAACCCCAAACACTTAGCCCCAAACACTAAACCGTAAAGCCCAAGCCCTAAACCCTAGACCCCAAACACCAATTCCTAAACCCCACACCCCAAACCCTAAACCCCAAACCCCAAACTCACCCCAAACCCTAAACCCCCTAAACCCCCAAAAGCCACGGAGTCGATCACCGGACGAGGAACTTTGAACAAAGGCGGCGACTGAGGAAGGGTTTAGGGTTTAGGGTTTAGGGTTTAGGGTTTAGGGTTTAGGGTTTGGGGTTTAGGGTTTAGGGTTTAGGGTTTAGGGTTTAGGGTTTAGGGCTTAGGGTTTAGGGTTTAGGGCTTGGGGTTTAGGGTTTAGGGCAGCTCCAAAGTCCGAAACCCCTCTTCAGCTTCAGTGGGGTTCCGCGCCTGGCTCTCGGCCCCGGGCGACTGCTCCCCAGGAAGGTTTGTGGAGCCTGAAGGAGTGCAGCAGAGGCCTTAAAGGAGGGATCCTTTTAAGGGAGCTTAGGGGCCATTTAGGGGGTGTTCAGGGGATACTTAGGGGTTCCTTAGTTCTTTAGGGGTTATCTGGGACGGTTTCTAGGGGTTTCCCAGAGGTATCAGAGTTTTAGAGCCTTGGGCCCATGAAGCCTGGAAGGCTGAAGGGTTGGGGTTCGCTTGCTTTCGGATTGCTTTGGGTCGATGAAAGGGCTCTATGTAAGAGAGTGTACGGCACGGCTTGAAGAAGTTCAGGGGTTTCGGATGATTTCGCCTTGAGAGGATTTTGTTGCTTTTGGGGGGATGTAGTAGATAAGGGCTTGTAGAGCTCAGGATTGGGGTTTGAGGCTTGCGACCCTGCTCTCCTCACACCGCTTTCCCAGCCTTTGGCCAGGATAAGTTCCGGATACGCTCGCCCTGCACCCAGGGTATTGCTCTCGACCTCAAGCAGGCAAACCCTTAGGTACCACCCCAAGGCACCTGAACCCGCCTTAAGGCACCTTAAAGCCCAGAGATCACACCGCGTTAAGCCACCAAAGAGCTGGCTGGTTCCTAGTAGGGACATGAGGGAATGAGAGCCCTCGATAATCCCTTCAAGGGTACCCATGTATAGAACCCCAATTCCCTCATTCCCTACTAGGAACTAGGAACCAGGGCAAAAGGGACTCCTCAGGTACGGACGCAGGCCCGGCCGTGTGGACGAAAATGAGCCCAGCCATCCGCATGGCACTCCAGGACAGCGTAGCAATCCGAACCCGGCTCCGCCGTTAAGGGCGAATTCATGGTGATGTGGTGTATGCCTGCGAAGCACGAGGAGGCTCCTTCCTGTTCTCTTTCGGGTTAGGGTTTAGGGTTCAGGGTTTAGGGTTTAGGGTTTAGGGTTCGGGTTTAGTTTAGGGTTCGGAGTTCAGGGCTTAAGGTTAGGGTTTAGGGTTTAGGGTTTAGGGTTTAGGGTTTAGGGTTTAGGGTTTAGGGCTCTGGGGGTGGTGGGGCAGCTCTGCCGGCTCCCGCCTGCCGCATCAACGCCGTAGCCTGCGCCATTGAGTGACGCACGTGGCGTGCAACATGCAAGGTTTAGGGTTTAGGGTTTCTGGTTTGGGGTTTGGAGTTTAGGATTTAGGGTTTGGGGTTTGGGGTTCAGGGTTTCGGGTCAGTGCATCCGGAGGGTTTGATCGATTTGGCGGCCTCCATCGTGATCGTGGCCGGCAAACACCGCGACCACGGCGTCGCGGTGCGCGTGCAGGACTCGGAGGACTTCCTGCAAACACCATCCAAGTTCAATCCTGAGCCTTCAATCAAAGACCCGATAGGAGCCCCCAGCCCGAATGCAGACATGTATGCGGTCTCTGCCCCTGTGGCACCCTTTCTCGCTCTCTTTCTTTCTTTCTTTCTTGGGGGCAAGGGGGCAAGCCCCCGGGCGTTCGCGCCCGCCCCTGTATTCAGGGCGCCTCCTGGTTGGCTCGTGTAGGCGAAGGCCCCCAGCATGCAGCTTCCCCCCCCCCCCCCCTCTTACTCCACTGAAGACAGCCCCCTGACATATCCCCCTAGTTGCCTTCTCCGTCAACGAGCACGCTTACTCGGTTGTCCTTTCCTGGCTCTCGAGACCCCCAGAAGCACCTATACTGCACTGCACTACACCCCCTAGTTAACCGTACCCCCAGGAAAGGACCCCCAGCTGGCTATGTGAAAAGCGCAGGTTGCCATGTGGGCTTGGCTCCGTTTCCCCCACCCCCAGACCCCTTGCTAGGCTAAGTACCGGGCCCCCCTCCAAAGTCAGGTGACCTACGCTCTCTCTCTCTCTCTCTCTCTCTCTCGCTCTCTCTGTCGTTCGTTCGTCCGTTCTTTCTTTAGTTCTTTCTTACTTTCTTTCTAGTTATTTATTTTCTTTTTTTCAATTTATTTGTTCTGTATTTCTTGCTTTCTTCATTTTCTTTCTTTCTTTCTGCATTTCCTTATGTATTCCTTTCTCTTCTTTCTTTCCTTCTTTGTGTCTTTCTGTTCTTTATCTTTCTTTCTTGTTCTTTCTTATTCGTTCTTTTTCTGTCATTCTTTCTTTCCTTCTTTCTGAAGCCGACCGTCAAAAGTATCACGAGCCGACATGCCCCACCCCTGCAACTGATGAGGGTTTGGGATTCAGGGTTCAGGGTTCGGGGTTCAGGGTTTAGGGTTTAGGGTTTAGGGGGGTTTAGGGTTTAGGGTTTAGTATACCAAGAACGCAGAAACGTGGAACTCTGCAACTGCAGCGGCTGCAGGCCTAAACTCTTCAACCCTAACCCTAAAACCCTCACAACCCCTACAACCCTCAAACCGCCCAAAACCCCTAAAACCCCCCTGAAAACCTCAAACCCCTAAACACCTAAACCCCTAAACCCCCAAAAGCCTCAAACCCTAAAACCCCTAAAAACCCCAATAACCTAAAACCCCAAACCCTCAAACCCTCAAACCCTCGAACCCTCAAACCCTCAAACCCTCACACCGAAAAACCTGAAACCCTAAACCCTAAAACCCTAAAACCCTAAAACCCTAAAACCCTAAAACCCTAAAACCCTAAAACCCTAAAACCCTAAAACCCTAAACCCCTAAAACCCTAAAACCCTAAACCCTCGGTCCTCGGAGTTCCAGACCACGGTCTTGGCTTTGGTGGCGGGCTCGAAGAGGGGCACGTGAAGAAAGACCAGGACCTTTCTGGCTTCGGCCTGCGCAAGGGGCACCTGGGGTTTAGGGTTTAGGGTTTAGGGTTTAGGGTTTAGGGTTTAGGGTTTAGGGTTCATGGTTTAGGGTTTAGGGTTCATGGTTTAGGGTTTAGGGCTTAGGGTTTGGGGTGGGTATCCGAAGACTGTTGCGTTTGAGGTGAAATTCGAACGGTCTGCACGCTCAGTGAGTTATAGTCCACGAACTGTTGCATGGTATGCGGCTGATGCATTGGCATGTACCCCCTTATACTCACAGTCCTTGATAGGATTATAGTCTTATAGTACCCCCGAATTCAGCACCCAAGTGTTGCAGATAAATACGAAATCGGAAGAAGATCAGAACTCGTCGAGAATCAACTCGATTCGCTGCATGATGTGGTCATGCTGGGCATTCCAAGTTGTGAATGTCGAGTCAGGAAGAGAGGGCCCCTTTGGTGCAGGAGCGCATTCGGTTTCGCGGCTTAACAGAAAGCCGAACTAGCTTCCCACGAACATGACCTATAGCTCATGCCCATGCCACAGAGGAGCAATTACATGTGGTCTCGGCAAGGTGTCAAGTAACTGTAGACATTGTACAGCTTGAAAAGAGCAAGAAGGCGGGTAAATCGAGTGGGCCGTGAGGAATCATTTTCGCACACCTGGTGGGCTAGTTCTCATCTGGGGTCACTGGGAACGTGTGTTTCGGGTAGCTTCAGAGGTTCTAGTGCCCAGGATTTGGCTCGGTCAAGGGCTAAACGTTCAGGCTGTAGGATGCTGGGCTTTGGGGCTTTCATTGCAGTAGCTTTCTTAGGGTTTTAGGGTTTAGGGCTTCAGGTTCGGGACTCGAGACTTGGGTTTAGGGTTAAGGGTGTAGGCTTTGGTAACTTTCGGGGCCTACCGGCCTTGTAGGGCTAAACCCCCAAGCCCCACACTCTGAAAACTGCAGCCCCAAACTCCCGAAATCCTAAAACCTGGAACCGCCTCGTCTCGGATCCTTCAGGGAGAACAGCCTAAGGGGCCTTCAGTATAAAGGATTTCCCAAAACCCTGCCCTAGAAGCACGCTACGTGCCTCGGCAGACTGCAAGGCCTCGGAGGAACCGGAGGAATCCATGGACGTGGGACAAAGCAGGATCTTCAAGCCATCATTTTTCGTGAAGGTTTTAGGTTCGGTTTGGGGGGGGTTTCGGTCTTCGAGCTCGTTTTGGGGCTTAAGGTTCAGGCTCAGGGATTGAAAGTTGCGGGCCTTTTGGCCTGAACTGACTTAGGCCCGCGCCATGTTCTTTTTGGCCTGAACTGACTTAGGCCCGCGCCATGTTCTTCGCGCAGTGGCCAGCCTATGTAAACCCAGGGGCTTCTCCTTGCTTTCCACTGACACTGGCAGGCCAAACCCTAAACCCTAAACCCTAAACCCCAAACCCTAAACCCTAAACCCTAAACCCCAAACCCTGAACCGCAACCCCAGAGTCCGAATTCGTACTTTCTTGCAAGTCTGGTTGATCTACCGGTCTACCCAGAGGCTTCTACCCTGACCCCTTGTTTAGGCGCGCTTCCATGTCTAGCAGACCGTGTTCAGGAAGCTATGTACCCAAAGAAGGAGTAGGGGGTTCAGGGTTTAGGGTTTGGGTTTCCCGAAATTCCAAAAAAACAGACTGATTATCCGAGCCCCCGCTCCCTCTTCCCCTGCAGGGGCCCAAACGCGTTCTAGCCAGTCCAGCTGCTTCTGAGAAATTCCACCTTAGGTGACTGGATCAAAGCATTTATGGTTTGAATTGGGATGTTCCCCCGTACGCCAACAGTCCTTGATGGGGATTATAATGAAGGGGTACTATAAGACCTACCTATTAAGGGCTGTTAGTATACGGTGGACATCCCAAGTTTGGAGCTTCTATAGGGCGTCGGATCTTGAACTTTCATTCGTGGAGGGGCTGCTGGCACTGAAAACCCCGAGATCGCTTCTTAAGCGGCAGCACGGGGCTAGTAAGCCCCGCCAACCCCAGCAAACACAGACCCATTCACTGCCCTCAACCCTAAACCCTAAACCCTAAACCCGAAACCCTAAACCCTAAACCCCAAACCCGAAACCCTTCAACCCAAAACACTAAATCTCGCTGCCCAGAGGCCGTTGTAGGGCACGTACCGATGCTTGGCAGTGGGCAACCCGGAAAACCAATCCTTCGCGCCAGTGAGAACGTTCCTTGGCTTCAAGGACTTCGGGTGTTTAGGGTTGATTGCTTTAGGGTTTAGGGTTTAGGGTTAGGATTTAGGGTTTGGGGCTTCAAGGACTTATCGGCCGAGCTCTACCGTACTTCACCTTGGAATGTCTAGGATTTAGTAGTTCTAGGGCTTCAAGTCCTAAACCTTGACGAAAAAAGTTGGAGGTGCCATGGCTGTCAACAGGTGTCGGATTGTGCTGCCGCATCATCTCGGTAGCCTCGTGAAAGGCCGAGTCATCTTGTGACATCCCAATCAGCCTGGCAAGAAGGCAGCGCGACTTCAGCGGCTGTGTACCCTGAAAATGAAGGTGAAGACCATACCCCTTGAAACTGAAACCTCAAACTCAGGTGTTCTGCTGTCGAAACCTTCTACTACTGGCTGCCCAGCATCAGCCTCAGATCCAGGAACAACCTCATACTTCCTACTCATCCAAGCAGCGAAATCTCGTAGGGGTCCAGGAATATGGCTTCCCAGCTGCTGCCCAGGTGTGCCTTAGCATATCATTGGATGCGGCTTGTCACAGCTTCGGCGATGGTAGGCCCGCATAGAATCTAGCCAAGTAAGACATGGCCAAACTCCTGCTTCTGAGGGTGTGCGAAAGCAAGACGCTCGCAAGCCATCATGTGCAAATCCGAAACCGCACGGCACGACCCGCTTCAGACCTCTCTATACATATCTACAATATGTCTGACGGGCAGTTCGCTTGCGCGATGTGCGTGGCCGTTTGATGCACCCCCACTGAACCCTCCTGAACCGCACACCCTGAACTACATGCCAGGAGGGCTAAACCGGTGAGTCTTTGTGCAATGGCTCGCACAAGAAGCCTTCTCAGACTACTGCACGCCAAGAAGCCGAATAGTAGGTCTGTCCTGTGCTGCGCGTGTGGCGCTGCCACTGTTTAACTCAAGAGGTGTCAGCTGACAGCAGCTTTGGAACAAGTATGGTTTGGCGCCCCGAAACCCTGAACCCTGAACCCTGAACCCTAAACCCTAAACCTTAAACCCTAAACCCTAAGGGGCTTTCGGGTTCTGCTAACTACAATCCTACTCAACTGGCAGGAGCCCAAGGGAGGGTGCTGCTCATGCATCCTGGCAAAGGCCGGGCTCTGATCTCCTAGTGCCCATGAACTCGCCCTATCCATCTTTAAAACCTCAACGCGAAACCCTAAACCCTAAACCCTAGACCCTAAACCCTAAAACCCTAAACCCTAGAACCCCTAGCCTAAAACCCCTAAACCGACTCCTGCCCGATGCTCCGGCCGAGAATCCGTCCGGACCGAAGCAGCGCAGGCCGGAGGAAGCAAGCGACTCGCGCTGCACGTTGTAGAGCTCGTGGTTGCCGATGAGGTCAAAGCGCTGTGCTGGGCTCCTGGTCGAAGGTGTACCTAAACCTAGGGTTTAGGGTTTAGGGTTTGGGGTTTAGGGTTTAGGGCTTGGGGTTTAGGATTTAGGGTTCATGGGGCTAGTTTGAAGACCATACTGTGGGGGTTTGGGTAGGGCTCGGAAGCCCCCAATGTGGCAGGCCTTGAGAGCACGTCCAGCACTGTGGCAAGAGCGGTTTCGCTGGCGTGCATCTTTGCGTTGCATCCGTCGATGACATCTCCCAGCTGCACCACCTGACACCCCCGAAACAAGCAATTTAGGGTCTCATAGGGTCTTAGGTCTTGGGGTTCATAGGGTTTAGGTTTAGGGTTTCGGGGCTCCAAAATTTCCACGCGCACTCATAAAAAGCGCCGGACTCTCGACTAGAGCATCTTCGTGCTGAGCAGGGCGCGGCATCCACGCCCACGGCCTTACAACACAGCCACGATGGCACGTCAAGGTCTGATGGGTGGGATGCAGCTCTTAAGACACCCGAACTACACCCTCAACCCGAACCCTTAATTCAGAATTCATTAATGCCAACCAAGCAGGAAGCATTCCAGCAATCGACGGCATTCCGCGCAATGTTCAGGGAGTTGCGAAAGTACCGCTTCTCACAACCAGAGAAATCGGTGCCATCGGCGCAATCTGCATACCTGAGCTTGCAAGGAAGATGCACCAGGACAACAGATCATACATGCTACACAGCAGGCTACACCCAAGCGACCCATCCAAACAGAAACACGGGCGATTCCTTCCCAAGCCGCTTCCTTAGGTTCGTGCCCAAGTCTTGAGGTCAAAGTCTAAACACAAGACTCAAACGACCAGGATGGCCCTTGAACTGAAGAATATGGGGTTTCCGATACTAAGCGGCCCCTAATATCGACCCCCAAATAGTAGGATTCCCTTATAACAAGGCCCCGATAAGGTACCCCCAGTACGGTAAACCTCCCCCTATTTCGAAGTAGAATCCTCTACCCTAAACCCTAAACCCCAAACCCCAAACCCTAAACCCTAAACCCTAAACCCTAAACCCAAAACCCAAAACCCAACAAGCAGTTGAGGCGCTGTATGTCGGCTATCAGACCAAGGCGGAAAGGTGCCAAACTGGCCATGGCGGGCGAGCAGTCCGGGCTCTGGTGCCTACAAGTGTGCCGTCCCCGAAGCCGTGAAGAAGCCTGCAAAAGCCCCCTAAACCCTAAACCCTAAACCCTAAACCCTAAACCCTAAACCCTAAACCCTAAACCCTAAACCCTAAACCCTGAACCCTGAACCCTGAACCCGAAACCCTAAACCATAAACCCTAAACCCTAACCCTAAACCCTAAACCGCTAAACCGCTAAACCGCAACCCTGGAAACCACTCGCGAAAATGCTGCGCACAAAGTCCAAGATCTCAAGCAAGGGCGCGTCATCGGCAGGGAGACAAGGGGGGGTCGAGACATCTCTTGCGAAATGGCCCGCCTTTTTTTTTCTTGCTTGACATAAATGCAAGCTGCGTAAGCCCTAAACCCTCTACCCTAACCCGTAAACCGCAACGCCACCTCCCACCCTGCCATTCGAAGGCAACTGTTTTAACCCTAAACCCTGAACCCTAAACCCTAAACCCTAAACCGAGCCATCTAGTAGGGCTCAGCCGAGGGCTCACACCCTGGCCCGCTTGGCGAACCTCAGAACTTCCCAAAATCAGAGAGAGTTTAGGGTTGAGGGTAGGGGGTTTAGGGGGTTTAGGGGGTTTAGGGGGTTTAGGGGGTTTAGGGGGTTTAGGGGGTCTAGGGGCGTCTAGTGGGTTTAGGGGGTTTAGGAGGTTTAGGCGGTATAGGGGGTTTAGGGGGTTTAGGGGTTTGGGGGGTTTAGGCTTTAAGGTTTCGGGTTTAGGATTTGAGGTCTTCCTCTGACCAGCTTCTGGGCACTCGTTTAGAGCGGCCGTTAGGAGGACCACCGTTCAGCGCTTCTTAGGGAAAAAGGGGGGGAGCGGGGGTTCAGGGTTTAGGGTTTAGGGCTTAGTGGGTGCCAGAACCTTAAACCCCAAACCCCCTAAACCCTAAACCCCCCAGAAAAGGGGAAACAGGAGTCTGAGGAGGCGACTCGGGGCCGCCTGCTGCGGGCGGAGGTCGCTTCATGTTGCCAACTGCCTGGGGCGTCTGGGGGGGGGGGTTTTGGGGGATTTGGGGGGATTTTGGGGGTTTAGGGTGTAGGGTTTGGGGTTTAGGGTTTGCGGTTTAGGGTTTAGGGTTTAGGGTCAGGGGGTTGGGGTTTGGGGTGTAGGGTTTGGGGTTTAGGGTGTTGGGGTTTTGGGGTTTAGTCTTCAGGGTTTTGGATTTAGGGTGTTGAGGTTTAGGGGTTTAGGGTGCTGGGGTTGTAGGGTTTAGGGTGTTGGCAGGGTTCAGGGTAGAGCGTGCAGTACACAGCCTATGCGCGGTCACATAGGGCCATGTCTTGAAGGCAAGCAACACAAAGAGATAAATAATATCTTTCACAAGAGCCCTGCCCACATGAAGAATGGATTCGGCCAGGCCTTGCAAACCCAGGCGCTGGCGTTGGTAACCTGCTCAGCGGGCATCTCATCTTGTCTCTTGAGCTACGAGAGGCTGCTCGCGAAGCGCGGCCGTTCGGATGCGCACAGAGGCAGCTGATGGTGGAAACTTGACCACATCTGGAGCCTCTTTGCCGCAAGAAGTCATTCGGGCTTTCTCTCAAATGCGGGTACTGTGTTGGTGTCCTTATTATCAGGGAATTTCTACTATTTGGGGGTCTCTTGTTAGTTACCAGGGTTCCCCCTTATTTTGGAAACCTCCAATTTACTGCGGCATGGAATGTCAAGGCAAAGAAATGAAGGCCCAGCCTGTGCCTCCTGCATCCTCAACTTGCCTCAGCGCCGCGTGCTTTTCGGATGCGGCAAAAATCGCCGTTCCATTGCTCCAGCAGATCATGCGTACGTACATACCTCTCCACCTTACATAAAGAAGCACGTGCATCGACACGCTACGGTTTCTGAAAGTCTCGGCTTAGGGTGGCCTCTTCTCTCCTGGGGCCTGGGGATGGGCAGCTGCCGGGCTTCCGGCGGACAATGTGGACAGCGGAGGAGGGCGGCAACTCGTGCAAGGCCGACATCGCCTGAAACGACAGAGGCGGACCCACGCAGAGGTTTGGAGTTTCAAACCTGTTTTTGTAGAGACATGCATATCGTTACAAGAACCAACCTTCTCGTCGAGCAATGCAGAAAGCTGGCCAATCTCCTGCAGGACGAATCGGAGGGGCATGTTTTGGAGCTTGGAGATTGCAAGGCTTAACGACGCCCCCACTGACAAGTCCAGCTGACCCACACCTTACACACGCAACCCTAAACTCTACTAGAAAGAGGAAGAACCCTCTCTAGCCAGGGCTCCTCCTCTAGCTCGATACCGTCACCGTCCATGGGACTCGGTTGAACATTTAGGGTTTCGGGTATCCCCTGCAAGGTCCTGAAATTGCGGAGGGCGTTTGCTACATGCATTCTGAATAGGGGAGGCGGATTGCTGGACATGCCCCCTGGCATTCTCGCCGTGCATGCTCGATAGGCTGCGGACGGTGGCTGGCTGATGTTCTCCTGCAGCACACCCCAGGCCCCAACCCCTAAACCGCGCTCAGCTCATGTATCTCGCACAACAAGGGACCTGCTTAGGGTTCATTACTGAGGGCTTATGAGGGTGAAGGGCTTCTGCGGGCTCAGTCACAGCAACTTTCCCATCCTGCATCGCCAGTCTGGAAGCACCTGCCACGCGCGTCGAGATCGAAAGGGGGGTTCTTACTGTAACTAGTGAACTATAGTGGTGAAACGAGGAACCCTCATAAGAACTTTCGCCGCTATCGACTCCGAACTGTGGAAGATCAGACTAAGAAAAGGCGACCCGCGAGTCGCCGGTGCAGATGTCCCAACTCCAATCTCAGAGGACGACGAACTGTGGGGGCAGAAACCGCTTCTCCAAGACTGAAATACTGAGCGGTTCAAGCGCCAAAACGTGCACAAGACTGTGGCGGGAGCTGGTCTGGCCGAATGCGCACGTGCCGAGAACGTCATCCAAGCCCAAAACTGCTTGGTCCATTCTGGGCAACAGCATGAGTTCGACCCCCAAAATGCGCACTGCATCTAGGCGAGAGCTGCGGAACTGGCCGCGCAGCGTGAGGTGTGCGTGCACATGTGCCTGCACTTAAGTTCTAAGTATTGAAAACCAAGATCTAAACCTGCCCACTGCGCGAGGAGCCGAGGTCTTTGTAGCGAAAGTCTGAACTCTGCCTGAAAAACCTTCAGCTCTGCAACTGCTCTGCAAAAAAGACGGAAAATGAAAACACATAAATATCCGGAGGAAAACGCAAATCTGCAAAGGAAAAAAGCATGCCGGCAATTCCTGGAGGGTCCTGCTGCGCATTCCTGGCCGCCTCTCGTGGGGTGCTAGGATCCAGAACTGCACGACAGCACGTAGGTATTCCACAAACACAACTCATGAGGGTGCACATACTTGCTACTCTGACCTCCATGCAAGAATTCAAAGAGCATGAAAGTAGCCCTCCAGCTTCCTAAGCCAGAACCCTCGCAGTCCGAAGTGAGCCGATACCCTAAACCTCCAAACCCCTAAACCCCCGAAGTCTAAGCCCTAAACCTTAAACCCCTACACCGAAAAAACTAAACCCTAAACCCTAAACCCTAAACCCCTAAACCCCTGAACCCCTGAACCCTGAACCCTAAATCCCCAACCTACATCCCGCACCCCAGCTGCGAAAGGGGCCTTCATGACATAGGCAGACGGATTGTTCACCTGCGAGTTTAGGGTTTAGGGGTTCAGGGTTGTACCGAACCTTAAGGCCCCCAACCACGGCCGAAAAAGGTTTAGGAGTAGGGTTTATAGGGTTTATATGGGTTTATAAGGTTTATAGGGTTTATAGGGCCTCTAGGGTTTCGGGTGGAGGGCTTAGGGTGCGGCGCAAAGTTTAAAGCCTGTATGAGGCACTCAAAGCCAGACATGGGTCGCCACCTTGAACAGGGTTAAGGGCTCAACGCTTTGGGCTGTTGGGATGCCAGGTGAACCCACGCCCTTAACCCTCAGCCCACAAAACGCTATGAGCCCCAAGCCCAGGAGACCTCATGAATCATCTGAGCCCGAGGAGCCCTGTATACCCTGCAAGCCCTACGGCCCTACACTTCTACTACCCTCATACAGCATAAACCCAAATAAGACCCTCCAATCCCTCTAAACCCTAAACCCCAAACCCCAAACCCTGAACCCTGAACCCTAAACCCTAAATCCCTAAACCCTAAACCCTGAACCCTGAACCCTAAACCCGACATGGACCCTTAAGTGCCCTCAAGAAGCCTTCGACCGCTGGTCTGACAGCTGCAGCACGATCTTGCGGGCAGCCTCCAGGCGCAGTCGGCTGGAGGCGGTTGTTTCGCGGTTTAGGGGATTTAGGGTTTAGGGTTTAGGGGTTTAGGGTTTAGGGTTAAGGGGTGAGGGCTTCAGGGACTTGGGGGCGTAGGGGCTAAGGGCCTGAGGTGTTTGAGGGGCTTTGAGGGGGGGGGGGGGTGGGTCTGAGGGCCTTTGAGTCGAGTATCCAGCTTAGGGCGTAGAGGTCCCTTTGCACGACTCATGCTGCAGTACGTCGGAGCTTGTGCAGTACAATCGGCCTTGACTAGCACAACGCGCGGCAGTTGCAAGAGAACTTTTGAGATTCCACTTACTATTATTACTATTATTACTACTGTTATGACTGTTATTATTGTTATTACTACTGTTCTTATTATTTTTACTATTATTATTTTTATTGTTATTATGATTATTTCATGATTAATGTGATTGCACCTGTTGCAACGGCGCCTCTTCGCTGAGGTTGTCCAAGGCTCTCATGGCATCCTCGTCCAGAAGCCGTAGCACGTCCTCGCAGCCGTAGAACGCCTCGCTGGGCTGCGAGATCAGGTTGGCCTGGCAGCAGGGAGGCAAGATGAACATCGGTTTATTCTGGCTTGTGGAAGTGCTGGGGATCAATTTTGGCATTTGTAATTAAGGATAGAAGGAGCCCCTCCGCCCTGAACCCTAACCCTAAACCCTAACCCTAAACCCCAAAGCCTGAAACCCTAATCCTAAACCCCTAAACCCTAAAAGGGGCCTTGCCCGGATCTCCATTGGAAGCGCGAGAAAATGCGGACGGACTCCAGCTAGCCTGCGCGTGTCGAATTGGACGGGCGGATATCTTGGGCACTTCGCACGAGAGTTTAGGGGTCCAAGGGTCTCAGGGTCTCAGGGTCTTAGGTTTAGTTTATATGGTTTAGTGTAGGGTTTAGGGTTTGGGGTTTCGGGCTTAGGGTGTAAGGGTGCCCTTAACTTGTACCGCCAACATAGTATGAATTCTCTTTGATACCCTGCTGCACCCACTCCTAATTTTCTAACAACCCTGAATGGAGTGAATGCACTCCTCTCCACATGCCTGGCCTGCTCACTGAAGAGATTCCCAACCTGCATCGCACGGCACAGCAGCCGGACCCGATGCGACATGGGTAGTTCTCTAAGTTGCGGTCACCCTTTTTGGGTCCCCTGCATAATGCGGCACCCCAGAACAACCCACATGATGAAGGACGGCATGCTATACTCGCATCGATTCATAAAACGAGCGGTGACTTGCCACGACAGCAGCTGCACATCCCTGGACCGCCCTTTGAGCGTGCGTTGCGACTGAAACCTAAAAAGGGCATGTACGAACCCTAAACCCTAAACCCTAAACCCTAAAGCCTAAACCCTAAACCCTAAACCCCAAAACCAAAAACCCAAAACGCAACGCCCTTCTCCTAGGTGGAAGGCTTGACAGCACTCAGACAGCAACTGCCGCCACATGGGCACCGCGCCTCTGGCGCCTCGTCGTGTGGAGCCAGCCCTAGTCCCCCACCTGGTCGGTTTAGGGCTTAGGGTTTGGGGTTTGGGGTTTAGGGTTTCGGGTTTAAGGTTTCGAGTTTAGGGTTTCGGGTTGGGGGTTTTAGGGCTTGTGTTTTGGGGTTTGAGGAATGGGGTTGCAGGGCTTCATCGGGGTTCGGGGTGGAGGGTACTGCTTGAAGCTTGCTGTGCAAACCTTCTCCTTTTGGGGGTTTGGGCCCCATGGGCCTTGGGGAATTCGGGAACTAGGTGCCATCGAGTCTTACATTCCCCTAAAGTTCTGTATACCCCTTGCAACGATTGTATGGGACACCCACTGAACCCTAAGCCCCAGACTCTAAACCCTAGACCCTAGACCCTAGACCCTAAACCCTAAACCCTGAACCCTAAACCCCAAGCCCTCAAAGCACCGGAAAGTCCCATCAAGCCAGCGAAGTCCTACTCGGCCACACCGGTAAAGACTCTGCAGAGGCGGAAAGCCTCTCAACTCTCTGCAACTTGACAGACCCCAAAGTACCCTTAAACCCCCTATATTTAGGGTTTAGGGGTTTAGGGTGTAAGGGTTTAGGGGCTCAGGGGTTCCGTCTCAGGGTTTAGGGTCTAGGGTTTAGGGGTCTGGGGTTTAGGGGTCTAGGGTTGAGGGCCCCAAACCTCCTACCCCAAACCCTAAACCCTAAACCCTGAAACCCTAAACCCTAAACACTAAACCCTAAACCCTAAACCCCATGGGCGCTGGCCTCCCGGAAAGCCGTGGCTGGGCGGGGGCGGCGCGGCCGGGATGGTCATGGGCGCCATGGGCACGTGCGCGTGGCCTGCGCCGAAGGCCAGGGAGGGCAGGGGTTTAGGGGTTAGGGTGCTTAGGGTTTTTGGGGGTGTTCAGGGTGTTTGGGTTTTTGAGGGGTTTGGGGGTTTTTTTCAGGGTTTAGGGCTCAGGGTGTAGGGTTGAGGGTGTGTAGGGCTGAAGATGTTGCGTTAAGGGTTCGTGGGGTTAAGTTGGGTTTTGCATCGGTCCTTGGGGGGTGTGCCCGGAACTCTCCTGATGCATCCGAGTGCTCATCATCTCTTATCTGGCAGGTAGGGAGCCTATAAAACCGGCACAAGCGTTTCGGGAAGAAAGTCGGGTCTTTCGCTTCAGCTGCACGAAACCCTAAACCCTCATCCCTACACCCCCCGTCGTGTCCAGAGCAAAGTTTAGAGTCTCGCGACTGCGACTGGAATTTCAGGGTCAGGGCATTGTGGGGGTTTGGGCTTCTTTTTGTGGATTCATAGGGGTTTCCGGTGTTCGGGGCTTTTGGGCCTCAGGTCTTCGGGGTTTCGGGGCTTTCGGGGTTTCGGGTTTCGCCGCGTAACGCATACCCTGTGCACCCTGCAATGCCGCGCACAACAAGCAAAGTCGAAGCCGAGCCTGAATCTTCATCCAAACCCGCCCAACGCTGAAAGACCAACTTCAAGCCATCGCTTTCCCTAAACGTTAAGTCCTAAACATC